AGATGAGGTTTGTAGTACTCATTACTAAAAATGGTAACACCGCGTTGCAGCGACCGTTTTTGTTTTGATTTCCTTAAAATGCATATTTGCCGCTAAAGTTATGGTAACCAAGGACGATTTAAATTTTATTGTTTTATATAGCCATTACCACAAAATTAAAAGTATACTGTTGCCTTACCTGGAGCAGATTTTAAAATAATGATGAACTTTATTTTTTAGACAAGGTACAAATACGTATTTTAAACATAATTGGACTCTTGCAGCCAACCTTCAACCATTTGGTCTCTTCAACCAAGCCAACCTTTAACCATTTGCTCTTGAAGCCAACCTTAAACCATTGTTACATTGTTGTAATGATGCTTCTCTTTCTCTTTTTCAATAAATACAATAATGGGGGCTGCTCTGAAGAGCCAGAGTCTCTTGTGCCATCTACCAAAATTCATTCTTATGTTACTTGTCATTACTTGTCATTACTAACCCTCATATTTTTACTGTGACTGTTTTTAAGTGCTCCAAAAATTCTTATTTGCCTAGTTTCCTCAAACATCAGTTTTTTGGAATTCGCTCCCTTCCTACTGTTTTCCTCATTCATATAATTGTAATCTTTTAAGGATCACTCATATAATGCAATCTTTTATTGCTCCAAATGTGGCCTCAATTTGCACACCAAAAGTACTAACGGGGACACTATTCATGTGAAAAATAGCATTGTTAATACTTTGATATTTTTCAGCTGTTGATGGAATCAGCCTCTCTAAGAGCTACCACAGATTTTGGGAAATTTGACTACCAGCTGGTCTCAGAACCATAATACTGAGTTTAATAATCATTCTATTATCTCCTTATGAGCTGAACTTTCATAAGGAGATAATAGAATAATTTGCCTAGTCATAAAAACTGAGACACAAGCAAAACCTGCTCATTGAATCAAGAAGATCCAGCATTCAACATCCTAAACTGGAAACAATGTATTATAAAAACATCTATGCCAGCCTAATAGATGATAAAGGGATATGAAGTTGATCAACAAATAGAACCTGTTTACCTTTTGAAGGTAAACAGATAAAACCTGTTTACTCTTTAATCAGATGAGTTTTTATAGAGGACAAAATTAAGGTGTTCTGACAATACGAATGGTTTCATACTGCCATTAACAACCACATTACCACATTAAATGACTTCAAACTCCTATTAAAAGTGCATTAAAAAGGGCTTTAAATACAATAAAAGCACTGTGACTTTTGTGTTCCATCTTGTTCAAAAATAAAATTCAAACCATAGGTGAGATGAAATTGATTATTAATGCCACCTACGGTTTCACTTAATAAATAATCAAATGTAACATGAGTTTATAATGATAAAAATCTTTGCTGTAATGAATGTGTAAATGTTTGAAAACAATCTTGTAGTTTTTCTTAAGTGAATCAAGTATGCTAAAAAGAAATATCTAATTTCATTGAAAAAAAAATTGCCTTTTTCCACATACATAAAGATTGCGTCTGTCAAGTGATAAAATATCAAAACAAAACAACAGTTAAATTTTTAAAAGTTAAAAGTAAAGTTACCGTGCCCTATCATGAAGTTACCGTACCCTATCATTAGCTAAATAGCAATTAAATTTTGTTGCATTTTGTTTATTAACCTTTTGTTTTTAAATTTAAAAAAATGAATATTTAAAAAAATAAAAAAGTTTTTAGTGTAACATAAACAGTGAAACTCTGAGAAAAGTCATTCTATGTGTATGTGAAATGCACAGTGGGCAACACTTTATCATAAGGCCTAATAATATAAGTGTTCAAACAGGTGTCCTCATATTATTAAAGACATATTAAATCAACACAAATACATAAATGTTCTGAACTAAGTGTTATCAAATATTTGTAATCACTTTCCAAATGATGCACAGTGGGCCAAAATGCTTAAATTTGTGACAAATTTTTTTTTTTATGTAAATATGCTTAGGATAACTTCACTAAACACAGGTATATTAAAAAACAGTTTTTTAATAAAAAATATTTACTAAAATTTAAAATTTTTGAAATTTTACAAAAAATATAAAATTTAGAAAAATATTTTCAAAATCAAAAAATTCCTACTACAAAAATTTAAAATATACATATGTATATGCTAACAGAGAAAACGCTAGCAACATTGTAAATAAATGCTAATAAAACAATAAGTATGAAAATTTGACAGAAAGCAACACATGCAGAAGTTACTGCAGAAACAATATTGATAAGCTTTAAAAAATCAAATATTACAATCAAATAGTTCTATTGTTCCAAGAGGATATGCAGATGTTTTTTAACAAAGTAATCGGTGTAAAACATCTTGATTTGTCTTTTTTCTATCACATTTTCTTGAATGATTCAGACGATACCGTTTAAAGCCCTTATTCCATGCTTCTTAAGCCTCTTCACCCATTAACCCAATAGGCAACACCATTCTTACAATCACATTATGCCCATGAATTAGTAGTTTGTGCAAATTTTGTGCCATGTAGTACAACTCACAACGTTGAACATACAGTCGTGCTGTGTTTAAACAAAATACTTTAAAACGTTCAACATGGATTTCATAACCACTAGAAATGCAAGCCAATATAATATGCAAGTTTTTTATTAATTGAAGATTGAGGAGAGTATAAATAATTTCACTAAAATTTTCTTCATTTTGAAATGCTCTTCTTGCAGTGTTTCCATCATTAAAATTGCCTGCTCCACTGGATTAAGGTTTGGCTACTACAAGACCCATTTTTTCTTCAAACTTTTGCTGTACTACATTTTTTTGCTTTTTTACTTTCTGTTTTTCTTCAACTGATCTTGCCTGCCATTTCTGAATAGGTAATTTGTAGCAGATATGTAGCAGAAACTCAAAATTAATTATCCATAAGTGCAAAGAGGACAAGCCATACTGCAAACCATGCCTAGTGTGCTTTCATGCAACTGCATTATCAATATTGTTCATATCAAATGGTTTACAACCACACACAGAGCACGACTGACTTCTATCAGTAACATAAAATAAAGCAGTGTGAACTTTACCATCAATCATGGTAATGTAAATTAAATGTTTACAATAATATTTCTGCCATCACTCACAACCACTTCAGTAGTAAGAAGCTCATCCATTTTATTTTTTTAAACGTATTTCTTCTGAAACAATTTTTTCTTTACTCTCTTTTTCAAATGAAAATCTAAGTGGACGACCATACAATGTGGATGATGGTTTACTATTGCGCCATAAAAATTTTTTTTTACCACCTGAGACACAGCTTAGCTCAAGTGGAACCAAGCATGTAAGGAAGAGAGACTCTTCTTTTTTATATCACGAAATTCACTCTTATCACTTATAGACTGTTTGGACATAATTCAATCTTTCAATAATTCAATCTGGATAATGGACTCCTTTGCAAATCTAACAAGATTATATGCTGGATAGAGATTAGAAGAATGTTCTAGTGCAATGTTTCTGTGCAATTGATAAGATGCTTTTGTCATATTAGTATTAAGAATTAAGGCCAAAGCTCTTTTAGGAGTTAATTGTTGTGTTGTTGGCTTTTTATCAATTATGCTTTTAATTGCTGCTGCTTTTTGTAATTTATTTTCTTTATTTAAGGCAGTTTTTGAAGCAAACAGTAAAGTATCTGAAGAATGTTCAGTAAATTTGCTTATCCTTCTATACTTTTGTCTTAAACTACAGTGAAAAAAATTAGATTGAGGTCTCCCTGGACCTGAACTGTGACTAGAACAATCAATAAATTTATTATTTAAGTTTTTATTTTTAAGTTCAAAAGCTTCTGCTTTGCAATAAGCAAAGCTCCATCGAATTTTCATATTTTTTTGTAAATTTTTAACCTGCACTTTTATATAGCTTTTCTATTCATTTCCTTTATATAAGTTTTGCACTATATTATTACAAATTGAATTGTCTTGCATAGAAAATCCATTTTTCTTTATATAATTATATATATATATATATATATATATATATCTATATACTTCATATTGCACATCGCAATGCCTAAAAGACAACATATAGAATAATAGTTATACAGAAAATATGGTATATAATAATCTGTAAACATTTATTACAATTTTATTTTGTATTTATTTAATTAAATTATTATGCAACCTATAATGAACAACATTTTTCATTAAAAAATTAATTACATAAAAAAGTTTGCCTCTCAAAATAATGTGAAACATTGAATTTCTAAATATTAATTGTATTCTTGTCTGCAAGACTCTGCAAACAAATTAAATCTATAAAAAATTCTAAACATTACAGATTTTCAAAAAATGTTATCAAAACCTTAAGCAAATTTGGCCAAGAAAATATATTCACCATCAAAAATGGGTTATATTATTTTACTTTTTTACTTTTTTTTTTTAAAGTCATCTTACAATGTAAATAAACTATAATTCAATGCTTTAAAAATGTAAATAACTTATTCAAACTAAACAAAAAGTATGTTCTTAATTTGATAATGTAAGACTTATTTAAATGCAAAATAATTTAAAAACGCAGCTTGGTTACAAAAAAAACAATAATTTTTATTTTTGACTCAAATTTAGTTCCTGAATATTTTATAAAAACTTTTTCAAATCAGTATAATTATTGTAGCCTAATAAACATGTATTTATTTTGTTTATAGACATGTTTAGCTTACAATATAATATTTATTAAAGATGGTAGCAACAATTTTTTTTCCTGGTTTTGTCACACATCTGGCCCACTGTGTGATGGTTGCAATTTTTACCATGAAGGTAATTATACCTTTGCTGCATTACCATACCTTGTGATACACCAAAGTTTGGTTTTTGGCTCTATGCTTTTTTAAGTGGTTTACCCTTTCAGTTAAACCAATGTTTTTCATTAAGGTATTAAAACTAAAAATTTTTTAACTAGTGACTTTAACAAGTAAACTTACTAAATTAAAATTACTTGAATTGATGCACAAAAAATGTTAAGAAAGAAAAAAAATGTTAAAAACTCACTTTGTATGGTTCAGCTGTTGGGAAGATACCTTTTCTCTCTAACAATCTAAACTTAAAATATTTAATTATGCTAAATATGATAAGTATAAATTTTCCTATAAAAATTAACTTAAAATAAATTTCAAAAATCTTTAAAAAATGGGGATAGAATTACTAAAAAAAATAGGGATAATAACATCACTGAAAAAATGCAGATAATATTACAAAAAAAAAAATTATATATATATAAATAAATATATATAAAAAGAAATATATTTATATACATACATTTATATATATATATATATATATATATATATATATATATATATATATATATATATATATATATATATATATATATATATATATATATATATATATATATATATATATATATATATATATATATATATATAAATGTATGTATATAAATATATTTCTTTTTATATATATTTATTTATATATATATAATTTTTTTTTTTGTAATATTATCTGCATTTTTTCAGTGATGTTATTATCCCTATTTTTTTTAGTAATTCTATCCCCATTTTTTAAAGATTTTTGAAATTTATTTTAAGTTAATTTTTAATGATATATATATTGATGATCAGGCAAGAGTAAGAAAATCAGCTAGTCCTAAACCATTCTTATCTAAATAAATAACCTACTCTATACCACCCACTCACTTAATCCAGTCCTACTCTTCAATTACCCACCTAATCTATCTTTATCCAGCACTTATGTGAATATACATACATACATACATACATACATACATACATACATACATACATACATACATACATACATACATACATACATACATACATACATACATATAGGAAAAAGTCATGATTTTATACTTAGAGGTTCCATATAAATATTCTTTTTAAAAGTTTTAAGAATGCAGGTGATTATCATACTTAGGAATTGCAAAGATTAAATGTTATTTCAAATAATCAATAAATCAACCAGTAAAACAATAGGAAAAAAAAGTATAAAAAATAAAAATCATCACATTTCAAGGAAAGATCTCTGAAAGCATCATTTATTATCAGATGTGCCATCAACAAATCATTATGTTAAAATGCAGCTTTAAAAGCTCTACTTGGACAAAATAAGCTTTACAAACATAGCAAGTGTCAAACTCTGAACTGAATGGGCATATGATATGCATTATGAATAAGTATATAGTACGCGTTATGAATAAGTGTATAATATGTGTTATGAAACACTTTGTCGTTGTAGAAAAATACATTTTTTTTCATGCAAAGCGGATTAGTTTCCTAAAGTAGCAAATTTTGTTTTTTTAATACATCCCATTTGTATTTATGATTTTAGACAATAAATGGAAATAAAAAATAGTATTTCCACGCTGCATCCATTTTTTTTCTTCCAAGAAGTGCAATGAGCTTGTACTGAACTTCGATAGTAACGTTTAAAAAAGCATATACAATGGTCCAATTTTTCTTTTAGCAGTTTATCTTTTCCGTTTTTTCTTTTATAAGGTTTAAAAAGTCTTTATTGATCAAGCCACAAAAGTCATACATGTCTTTTTTCCATTCTTTATTTTGTTCGTAAAATTAAAATGAAAATAAATCTCTTTTATGATGATTATAATCTTTAGCAATAAACACTTAATACAAAACAATTAATTTGTTCTCAGGTAAATTTAATTCTAGTTCAAATTTTTAAAAAATAATTTCATTGCCATTTTTTGTAAGAATGGTTAAAACAATAAAATTTGTGCAACATCGGATGCAGTTCATTGTCCGGATAAAAAAACTCAATAGCATTTTCTTAGGATTGTTCAAACGGTTTGCTATTCATTATTCGAAATGATCTAACAAATATTAAAACTTTCAATTTTTTGATAGCGAATTATGGGATTACAGTTACAATGAAGGTTCACTTTACATTTCAACATGCAGATTTTTTCTGCAAAAATGCGGACATTGGATCTCTTTAGTGAACAAGCGAGGGCACCATTCCCTACTCATTTTTTAAGAGAGCATACAAACATTTTAAAGTTTCTGTTTATATATATATATATATATATATATATATATATATATATATATATATATATATATATATATATATATATATATATATACGAAAATATAAAAATAGGAATAAGAAAACGCTCATATGCTCTTTTTCATTTTGAGAATAAACATTGATGTTTAGGAATTTTTTCCTTTTTTCATGACTAATATAATAATACTTATATAATAATTAAGAGTTTTTTTAACTTTCTGTTAGCTGCTTTTTAAGTCTCTTTTAAACTTTCAACCTAAATAATCGCAGCCTTGTTAGAAAAACAATACTCAGTTACTTGCAGACTTGTTAGAATAAAACTTTTTACCTTCACAATTAACCCATAAACATGCATTATATTTATTATTCACAATCATTAAGCTTTATATATACATTATATTTTAAAATATAAGTAATGTTGCTGTTTTATAAATTTGATTTCTTTCTAATTTATGTTAAGCTATATTTCTGTATATGTATACACATAAGTATGTGCGTATATATATATATATATATATATATATATATATATATATATATATATATATATATATATATATATATATATATATATATATATATACATCTATATATATATACATATATATATATATATATATATATATATATATATATATATATATATATATATATATATATATATATATATATAGTATATATATATATATATATATATATATATATATATATGTATATATATATATATATATATATATATATACATATATATATATATATATATATATATATATATATATATATATATATATATATATATATATATATATATATATATATATATATATATATATAATATACATCTATATATATATACATATATATATATATATATATATATATATATATATATATATATATATATATATATATATATATATATATATATATGTATATATATATATATATATATATATATATATATATATATATATATATATATATATATATTTTAGGGGTATAACTAAAAAAGTTTTTTAAGAACTTTTAATTCCCCATGCCTCCATGAGTGGAGAAATTATATTTATAAACAGAAAACACAAGTTATTAATGTTAATTTTTGAAAAAGATCACCCCCCAAGCTGAAAATAATTATTCCTTTTTAGTGTTATCCTAATGAGTTATAAATAACATAATAGACATAAAAAAATGGCTAAAAATGGTCTTGCTTCAGAAAAGAATAAGAAAGTTTGGGAATCAAATTTAGTAAGGTTTGAAAAAGCTTAGACTTCAAAAAGATGTGTTGTTGTTAAAAGTATTGGTAAAATGAATAAAATGCCAACAGCATATGATTCCAACAGCATATGATTGATCAATTTAAAAGTTTGTCATCAAATGTAAAAAGAAGAAAAGAGATAGTTGCAATTTTGGCTAAAGAAACTGAACTACTACGGAGAAAGCTGAGTATTCCAATTCCACAAGGAAAATCAGCATCAGAAAGAAAAAATAGAAAATATATTGAAAAAACTTGACAAAGATAGTCAAAAACCCAGAACTCAAAATTTTACCCTTTTGTTTAACATAACTGATGAAAAAGATAAATGGTTGTGTCAGGAAGATAAAGAATTCTACTGTCTGCAAATGTCAACAAATGGAAGAGTTGGATATTGTACCACAATTGAAGATACTGAAGGTAATCATCCAAGAAAACTAGTGTTGATAAGGAAACAAACTTTCATCAGCCGAGACCAAGATTTCAATGAACCAGCTAGTGAAGGAGGTCATTCAGAAACTGAAGAGCAGTGTTCCAGCAGTGATACTAAAGCTTAAGATGTGGAAAGTTTGTCAACATCATCTAAAAGACAAAAAACAAGTTTGGCTGTAAATTTATCGATTTCTGCAAAGATTAGTATTGAAAAAGCACATAGAGTCTTCAAAGCTTTATCAAAAGGTGGAACTTCTATTCCTACTCCAACTCAAAGTGGTGTCTACAAAGGTGTCATGAAAGAAGGAGAAAAGCTAAAAACTAATTATAAGGAGAATTTAAAAAATGAAAAGTGGTCTTTACACTTTGATGGAAAGTACATAAAGAAAATGGAGCATCAAATAGTTTTGAAAAATGAAAAGAGAGGTTAGACTTGCTGTTCTCAAGCTAATGAATGGAAAAAGTGAAACAATATTTAATGGAATAAAGCTTGTGCTGAATGAATATGAGCTGTGGCCAGCCATAAAAATGATTGTATCTGATACAACATCTGCAAATACCGGAATAAGAATTGGCGTAGTAACACTGTTACAGAAACATTTCAAAACTATTGGACTAGAGAAGCCTACTTTTATAGGATGCCAACGCCATATATTAAATACTCTTTTAAAGCATATCATGAATGATCTTTTTGAAAGTTCAACATCATTACCAAATCTTCATTACCCTTTTGTGACAAGATTATTCAAAGACTACGAGAACCTGAAGTTATTATTTCAGAATACTGGAGATCTTTTGACAAAAGTGAATTGAACATGCTGGCGAGATGACATGGACTTCCTGCATCACTTAATATCTTGTTATAGAAAGTTTAAAAGCACAGGTACCTTTCAAAAAATGAATTTTAAAGCACTTTACATTTTAATATAAGACTATCAAGAATCGAAATCTGCTCAAGCAGCATGCAACTTCATCTGTGGTTCATGGGGTAATATATGGTTTGATGATTACTACTTCAATTCTGCAGATTTTGTTAACTTATTAGAAGCATGCAATGAGCATCCAAAAGCATTAAAATCGTTGAAAACATTTTGGTCCACAGAGCCATCATCAGTTTTAACACAACAACCAAACATATGTCCAGAACGAGCAGTAAAAGTGATGCAAGATTTAGTGTCTTTCTGCCATAGTATAAAAAAACTTAACATGCTTGTTAGTTTTCTATAAAGTACTGGAACATGTGTTGAAAAATAACATTTCTTATATTCTATTAATCTTGTTTTTAAATGGGGGGGGGGTGAACTTTTTTGAGGTATTGTATAAATGTTTGATATTTTCTTGATTTTTGCATAAAAATTCCACTAAATTGAATATGGGGATACAAGGTTATATATATATATATATATATATATATATATATATATATATATATATATATATATATATATATATATATATATATATATATATATATATATATATATTAGGGTGGGTCGAATTTTTTTTATCTTTCCTGTACATGAACAAAAAGTTGTCTTGGCATCAGTACAGTATGAAAATAATATTTAAAAATTTTTTATGAAACGTTTAGGGGTCCCAACTTTTGATTAAAGTCTTACCTTATTTGATGTATTTTAACCATTTCCATTTACCAACTACAAATCATTGACTAAAATGCATTGGCAAATGGTTTAGCACCAAACTACAAGTGCTAAAAAAGAAATGGAATAAATTTTATAGTGTTATTTACATGTGACGCCACCAACATTAGCAACAAACCATGTGCTGGATTTTTTAGAAACAAGCAAAATATCTAATATATTATTTTATAACTTTATTTTCTTCTTTGCAATAATAGATCTATAGTAAAATTCAAGTAGGTTAATATAGATGTATACTACAGTAGGCTATAGTTTAGACTGTAGAAAGATCACTGCATTTAACATGTAGGCCTATTTATGAGAGGGCTAAACATATTATAGTCTGTGTAAATATTGGAATATTTATTGACTAAATTCTTATGAAAAATTGTTTTAACAGCTTTTATTTATTGTAAACATAACTTGTTGTAGTTTTTTTATTATTTTAGACAAATTATAAAATATGGATAGTATGTGTACACGAAGTGCAACTAAACATCCATTGTTTGGGCAGTTAGTTGATCTTCCTGAAAATTTAATCCCATCATATGAAGACGTTATTAAGGCGTTCTATTATAATCAGAAAACAGTACTAGAAATTAGCTTGCAAGAAAGATATTCAATTTTAGCAGACAGAGTGAAATGTGTTTATTCAAAAGCAAGTATTCCCACAATAGAAGTGAATAGCACAGTCATTAGGATTAGAAGACTTATGGATAAAGTACATACACTTGAAAAATATTCCGATGCAAAAAGAACATCAGTCACGTTCACAGGGAAGTTCAATTCTTTTAAGCAGTTATTTGACATTTGTACCTGCAAATGCTTTGATTTGGGTATTAGAGATAGGAACTTATGCACGTGCCCACTGCTAAATAAAATTCCATTGATAGAGTGGGATTTCTGAGTTGACCAGAAAACTGTTAGAAATATGATAATTGGTGGAGTAGACAAAGAAACAACAGCAACACTGGAAAAGAGACAAAAACGCAAATTTATGAAATCAGTGTGTGATGAAGCACAGTCAAATAAGGTTGAATATGAAACTGAGGAAGATATTGATGAGGATGAGCGTAACACGTCTGAAAGTAATTATACATCAGAGGAAGAGGCAGTATCAGTGCAGAACAGAAACAAGTACAAGGATTTATGTAAAGGAGTTGATTGATGCAAAATTAGCAACAGAGATACTTGTCTTATTGTTAATGCTGTTTTAAAAGACCTCAGTATGTTGTCTTCAGCAACAATTCTTGATCCTTCAAAGCTACGTTGACAAAGGAATTTCTGAAGAGATACTCTGGTTGAAGAGCATATGCAGAGTAATAAGGAATTGTGCTGTATAAGCTTTGATGGAAAACAAGACGTTACATTAGTTGAGAGTTTTGGTTGTAGAAGAAGTAAAAAAGAAGAACACTATAGTATTGTCTCGTATCCAGGAAACATATACATTGATCATGTAGTTCCTGAAAGTAGTAAAGCTGCTGATATAACAAAGGAGTTAATCTCAGTTATTATAGAGACAGACTCCGTAGAAAGCATTCAAGGTGTTGTGTGTGATGGCACAAATAATAATACAGATAAAAGCATCGGAATCATAAGAAAATTGGAGGAGAACTTAGGTAGACCATTACAGTGGTTGGTATGCCTTCTACACTGTAACGAGTTGCCATTTAGAAGGTTTTTGGCAGGCGTGGATTTTGCTTGAACTACAGGACCTTCCACATCGACAGGTACAATTAGCTCAGCTCTAGAATATGATCCGAATGAATTGCCTATCGTTAATTATTTGCCAATTACTGGTAAGGTGACTGATTGTGATGAAGCTGTTAAGAAGGATCTCAGCACAGACCAACTGTACTTTTTGAAAGCATGTCTAGCAGTACAGCGTGGACGTCAGGCTTCTACAGATATTGATTTCCTTGAGAAGAGTTTACCTGGAAATATAAGTCATGCTCGGTGGTTGACGAAAGCCAACAAGATTTTGCATCTCTACATGTCTAGAGAGGTGGCATCTAAACCTCTCAGAAGAGTAACGCATTTCATTTTGAACTTTTACGGACCCTCTTGGTTCAAAATCAAATCAAATTCTTTTTGGCAAAATGGTGCTAACAACTTCTTTTACTTAGTTCAGTTGTTTCAAGAACTTGATGTATTAGATCAGGCTGTGGTTCGTCCTGTTCTCAAAAATAACTGCTACTTTGCGCATGCTGAAAACATTCTGTTAGCTGCAGTTAGTGATAGTGATATGGAAATTTGTCGTTTTTCCGTAGAACAAATAATAAGAGCAAGAGAGAAGCAGACTAATAGTAACATACCGGTTCGCATCTTTGATAAGAAGGATATAACATTAAATCTGGCTGCGACATCGTTCATTAACATGATTGACTGGAACCAGAGTAATGTTGCATCTCCTCCGATGCTATCACACCTTTCAAATGATCAACTTACTTACACACATCCAATATTACTGCCCGATGTTCCATGTCATTCACAGGCAGTAGAGAGAACAATTAAATACGTTAGCGCTGCGAGCTGTAAAGTTTATGGGAGAAAGTCCCGTCATGGCATGGTGTTACAGAGTAAGAAATCCAGATTAGAGATACCAAAAATAGACAGCAAGAAAAATTTTATTAACAGTTAGGTTAAACAACTTTATATTGTTGCTGTTTAACATTGATTCATTACAGTTTACATTCTTTTTAATTTGTAATACATTGCAATACATTACACTAACATTGGGTATTTATGTAGTCTTTCTAGTCAGAGTTGGGACCTGTAGACACTGTCCATAAAATAAAAAGTGAGATTTTTTTAAACGAGTACATCAAAACGCAACTTTTTAGACATGTACAGGATCTCCAACTTAATATTTTTTACATTTCGACCCACCCTAATATATATATATATATATATATATATATATATATATATATATATATATATATATATATATATATATATATATATATATATATATATATATATATATATATATATATATCATGGTAACAAATCATAATAACAATTGTTAACTGTGATTTGTTTAAATTTGTTAAAAAGGGAAATTTTTTTTTATAAAATCTATATTCATAAAAAAAAAAAATACCTTTGAACATCGAACACTTCATTAAGCTTTAAAGTGTTTTGAAAGTAATCATGTTCTGTTGAAAAATATGGATTAGAAGCAGCACAAGTGCCATGTTTCTCATATTCATGTTTCCTAAATTGAACAATTATTGGTTCCGGTACAAATTATTGAAAAATTATAAAAACAAAAATAAAGGGATTTAGTACAACAAAATAGTCATTTTTGAAATCAATAACAACAATAAACAAAAACTTAATGTAATAACAATAATAAAGATAATGTAATCAATGGAAATAATATTAAACAAGAGTAATAAGGAGTAGGATGGGGCAAGGGTAACTAATAATTGAAAATTTTGCTGCATGCTAAAAAGGTAGGATTATTTAGTTACTATTTGAAACCTCTAATCAAAAATAAAGTAACTATAAAAAGTATAGATACTTTCATTAGTACCAGCACTTAGTGAATTACATTTTATCAATATTACTAGTTGATGAAAAAAAGCTGTGAGGACCATATAGTTGAAGAAACAACTTTTTTTTTATTCTTGATGTTGTTACAAACCTTTCTCAACCCTAACAAACAAAGCAAACAAAACAAAGCAAACAAAGCAAAGCAAACAAAATAAAGCAAACAAGACAAAAAACGTAGTTTTAATGGGTTTTTTTTATAAGTTTCTTGAAACAATTAACATTAATTTATAAGGAAAAAAAGAAAAAAAAAAAGGAAAACTTAGGTATCACCACATTATATTTTTTAGATCTAAAAAAATAAATCTTTTTCAAGCAGCAGTATGTGGTATCTTTAAAAATAGAAATAGCACTTACCGAAAATATATCACACATTTTGACTTGTTTAAATATGATATTTAAACAAGTCAGAAGTTTTGTTTATGTATTTGTTATATTAGTAGTTTTAATGGGATAAACATTATAGCCACATATGGAACGCACCAACGCCATCCAATAAAGGAGTGTGGTAAATATATGGCTAACATATGCTTATTACACGTGGGCCACATGAAACTTTTGTTCAAAAATAAAGTGTGGCTTTCGTTCTTTTTTAGTGTAGTTTTAATGGAATAAACATTATAGCCACATATGGAATGCATCAACACCATTCCACTCAAGGAGAGTGGTAAATATATGGTTAACATGCAATTGCCATATATGGCCCACATATAAATTTCTTGTTGGGATATAACAATACAATACACAATTATTAACATGTAAAAAAATGCATAATAAGCACATACCACAAACTATCTTCAGATTCTTTTAAATAAAAATTTGGCCAGATAATATTTAAAACTTCTTTCAAATCCTAAAAAATCACATGATTTTTTTGAATTTTTAACCAAATAAACAATGGATAAAAAACAACTTTTGATTCTTTCAAAGAAGGAATTACAAACAAAAAGCCTAATCTGTCAGTTATACACCCATTTTTTTAAACATCCTACATCTTAAACTATTTTTAATAACAGGTGATACATAAGTTATCGGACAAAATAAAAATGTCAATAACTTATTTATAAATGAAAAAAAAACTATTATTATATATTTTTTTTAAATAAAGTATTTATCTTTTATTAAAAAAAAAGTTATTTTTTAAATTAAAAACACCACCATCTGCAATTGATCTCAATTTCGCTCTGACGCCTTTCATAAGCAACTATAAAAAATTTAAATCAATTTCTTATAGTTCAGGGGTGTGAAGTTGTAAAAAAAAAGTAATGACTCCGATTCCGACTCCAGTTGTTGAAATTTTTTGAGTACAACTCCAACTCCGACTCCAACTCCAAAGCAAAATTTTTGAAAAATTCTTTGGATTCTTTCAAAAATATTACGCGATAAGTTAAATTTTTTTTTTTTGACAATCTTATGAAATGTTCTTTGAGGTTTAGTATGAACATAAGGTTAATTGAATCATTTGTAACTGCATGTACAATACCGAGAAATTTTACTATAGGAGTCGGAGTCATGATTTTTTTAGCGACTCCGCAACTCTGACTCCACAGCCCTGTTATAGTTTTAATATAATTCAATCAATTAAAACTTGCTCTGTTGAATTTTGCTAATATACCCCGTAAACCTTCTGTACCAAATGTCCCCAAAAGTTTTCAATTGGTCATGCTTGAGGCACATTTGGGAGATTTTATCATCATAATAGACATAGTACTCCATCTTTAGAATCTTTAGAATAATGAGAACTTAATAAATGGCCAAAATAAATAGTTTAAGTCTCCATGATACTTGTGAATGAATGGAAGAAGTTGTTTTTCTAAACATTCATCAATATAAATCGATAAATTAATTGCTACAGCTTTGGAAGTGCGAAACAATGGCTCGAACATACCACAGTCAGATATGGTTATCCACATTAATAATTTTTTTGAAAACTTTCCTTTTCCTTTAAAATGAACACTTTCATGTTATTTTGTTGTTAGAATTGCAACTCTATAACACAAAATTGCTTCTGAAAAAGCAGGAAAGGAGTTAACCAACATTGGTCAACTAGTTTTCTGCTTCTTTTCTTTGCCTTTAACTGTTTCTCTATAGTGTATTTTGAAGTATTTTTACATTTTCTATATTTAATACTCATTTTTTTTCAACTGACGACCAATTGTGGATTGATTTACACCAAATTAAAAACCTATTTTTCTCTGACTGACCACTTTTTGATAGTTGACAAGTCTTGATAATTCGGATTTCTTTTCTCTAGTCCAGAATGTTGGACGACCAGTGTGCTTTCTATCAGAAAGGAATTGAACAGTTTCAAGTCTTTTTAGGTTATCATATATTGTACTTTGAGCAAATCCTTCGTTTTCAAAATGATTTACAATATCTTTTTCTTTTTTATATTAAGTTTATTTACAAAAAACATTTTGAGTCGTTTTCGAAAAGATTCTCATTAAGCTGCATTTAACCTTATTTTAAATAAATTGGGTTTCAAATAATAAAGTTTGTATTTTATAGAACATTTATGCCTATAGATAAAACCACAAAAACAAATTATTATGCTCAAATAATTAAGTTCAGATTTGTCCAATAACTTCCACATCACCCGTTAGTTATGCATTTTTCATTGGTTAAAAAGCTAAAAAGTTTTTTCATCTTTAGAAAAAATTTAAAAAACTTTTATAAAAACAATTTATTTATAAGGTCAATCAGTACTTTATTTTTGTGGTCAATTAAAATAATGTAAAAATGGAAAAAATCACTGATTCTGAAAATATAAAACTTAAAACCTTTAACACTTAATTGTAAATTAAATCATTATTCAGACATTGCTTAGTTTATAAAATGGCTTTATATTGTACAATTTTTTAGCCTGATATCTGACTGTTGTGATGCATCAAAAATAATATTTCAAATGTATAATAGTATAACTATAAATAATATAATCATATTTTTATAAAAAAGGATTAAAACAATATCTCTAGTAATACAAACAAAAAACTAAAACAATTAGAACTGTATTTAATGTTAAACAATTTTGAATTTATAAGCAATTTATTAGCAACAAGCAACTTTATAGTTTAATGTTAGATAATTTTGAATTATTAAATTTTTATATTTTTGCAGAAGAATTAGTAAAAGTTACAATCTTATATATTATTGCTGAACTTATTAATGTTAATAGTATCATATTGTGTATGTTTGACACAGAAGTCTTGGCAGCCATTTAGACTAAAGTAATAGCAAAAAAGCAGAACTTTTTTTTTTCCCAACATCTTTGCTTCAAACAAGCCTGCAAGCAACCACTATTAGAGTTGGAAGTTGCTGGAAGAGAAAAGATGACGTTTATAGAGCAAAATAACTATTGCATTGTAGTTTAAATCCTTATGCTTGCACATTTTTTTTTTTAATCTTTTTTGATTTTTCAAAATGCAAAATAAAAGATTTTTGAAGTTCTATATATTATATACATGACACATATATAAAGATATTATGTATTATAACAAACGAAAGAAAAAGAATTTTTTAAAAAGTTTTAAATTTCTAAAAACATCAAAACAATGGGAGAAATTTGTTTCGCATATGTCATGATAGATCTCATGTTATTAATTAGGTAATTAGTCCTAACTAGCTGTCTGAAAAAAAATTAATAAGCCCATCCTGCTACTCAGAAGTGTAGCTGTAGTGTTGTGAAAAAAAAAAAAAAAACCATTGCTAGCAAAAACTTTTAAATTTTATTTTAACTATTAAATCTTTTTTGCTATATTTTTTATTTTTTTATTTTTTTATAAATATATATACGGTCAGATAAAAAATTTGATATATTGTTATATATTTTCAATTTTTCAAGACAACAAACTAACTATGTTTGCAGCGCATTTTTGCACCTTGTCTAAAAGAGAAAGGGCATCATTAGAAGATCCGCCCCAGATATGGCAACAGTACTCTATACAAGGCCGGATCAACTCGTTTCTCCGCGCAGCGGCCTTGTTTGTCAAGGTTTGTGTTTCGGAGTTATAGAGTTGAGAGAGGGTTATAGCCACAAATAAGTAGCCTCCTCGTCTGTAGTGGCCTTCTCGGCCTTGAGGAGGTGAATTAAAATAAAAAACAAATAAAAAAAAAAAAAATTTAAGATTTATAGAGATAGAGAATAAAATCTGGAGTAAAAAAGTGTTGAGCTCGATAAAGAGATGCAACCTTAGAAGATGCTAATTTTGTAACAGATTTAATATATGGTTTCCAAGAAAGATCGGAAGTAAGAGTTAATCCTAGAAGATAAACGGTAGATGACTCATCAAGTACATTACCATTCATAAATATAAGATCTTAATTATTACAAATTATTACAGATTAATATTATTACAAATGTAAAAAATCCACTTATTTAACGCTATTTACAGTATTGTGTGTAATATAAAAAAAACTTTTCTAATAATCACCAATCTTTTTTTACTTAAACTGTTTTCCTTTGAATTTTTGTTTTTATGTTATTGTGTTTAAAAAAATTGACAAGATTGAAAAAACACAAAAAATATTATGTTATTCAAATGGAAAATTCAAAACTTCGATTTTAGATTTGCGATGACTCTTCTCTCTTGAGAATTTCTGTGCGCTAAAATTACATCATCTTCTTAGTTCTGCCATTTGTTAGCACATAGCCTTATGTACAAACGTCTGTAAGTGTAAACGTCTTTAAAAGTCATTTCTTGTTATACGATATATATATAATATGTAAATTGATTTTAATAAAAAGGCAGCATATAACTATTTTTAAATATATTTTGATGTAAAAATATATTAACAATATTTCGTATATATATGTATATATATATAAATATATATATATATATATATATATATATATATATATATATATATATATATATATATTTAGCTATATTATAACCATAGAATAGCTCAATAAGTATAGAAATTATTGATTTTGGTAAAGATAAAACCAAATCGCAGAGGTCATAAAAAGCAGATCAATTCAATTTCAAAAAATCAATTACTTTTTTATTTTTTAAAATTATTTGTCAAAGTTTACTCTTTATAGAAAATATTTTTATTTAAATTCTTATCTCTTCAAATTATATTAATTCTTATTTTATAAGTATAATTTAGAAAATTTATTATAAAAATTACTTAAAAATATAATTTTTACAGATAAAAAATAAATATTTTTGGCAAAAAATTAAATACCATCATAAAGTGTAACACTTTGTCAAACTTTGATATTAAAGTTTATATGAATATTAAACAGATTTATACTCTATATATTATCTATAAAAATTAAAAAGCAAAAACCAGGTTTGACAATATTAAACTGAGTCAAATGTTGTTAAATTAAGTTTAATTAGCTGATTACTTTTGTATTGTGCACTTCATGTTTTCATGCTTCATGAAGGATTAGCATATGAAGGATACTGAAAATAAAATGAAGGATTAGCATATGCTGTAAATAAAATGAAGGATTAGCATATGAAGGATACTACAAATAAAATGAAGGATTAATATATGAAGGATGCTATAAATAAAATGAAGGATTAGCATATGAAGGATACTACAAATAAAATGAAGGATTAGCATATGAAGGATGCTATAAATAAAATGAAGGATTAGCATATGAAGGATACTACAAATAAAATAAAGGATTAGCATATGAAGAATGCTATAAATAAAATGAAGGATTAGCATATGAAGAATGCTATAAATAAAATGAAGGATTAGCATATGAAGGATGAAATAAAATGCCAAATAATCATAAAACTGTCAATTAAAAGAACAAAATCAAAATAAAACACTTTAATTTTTTCATTTTCAATTTTGTCATGTAAAAATATATTTAATAAAAAAAAGTTTAAATTTAAATAAAAAAATATTTTAACTGATAAAAGCATAATATATAATTAAAAAAAAAAAAACTTATATAGTTTAAGTGATATAAACAATTTCTTTTTAAAAAAAGAAACATACCATTATTTTGGTCATATCAAACACTGTATCCTGGCAATAAAATGGTGGAGGACCATTCCGATTTGATGGCCACAAACCATGAATTGTCCATCCTGTTGTTTGAGGAGGCACTCCACAAGGGTGACCTGATGCCTATATTATTTAGTCTATATTATTAAAAGTATAAGAAATATTTTTTATACATGTAAAAACTGATAATAATTGTGCAGGTATTTGGTACATGTACATGTTTTAAGTGTTACCTATAAAATGTTTAGGACTTGAACTTAAAGTAGGCTTAAACCAAAATAAAAATGTAATTAAACAATTATTTGAGATTAATTAAACATAAATTAAAATATCAAAAAATAAACTAAGAAATAGCAATAAAACATGAATTGAAAGATACTAATAAAAGCTATAAATTACTACTAAGAAATCTAAAAGCATTTTAGAAGTAATAATATTGTATTTAACTCTCTCTCTCTCTCTCTCTATATATATATATATATATATATTAGGGTATATCATACTAGAGCCAAAAATTAAATTTTTAGAATTTTGACTAGCACGCTTGGATTCCTATGTATTTGGGTATAGGGAATTCAAATATAATAATATTTTTACAAAATATTGATGTCTAGCTACCGGGAAACGGGTTTTAAAATTAGGGTTTTTTTTCAAAAATTAGTCTATTTTAACTAAAGCTTAATTTTGGAAAGGTTTTAGTCAATTAATACTAAAAATTACAATTATATTAGGTAAAAAGTAAACTATGTGAAATAAAACAGATATAATTATTATTTAACTTCCAGGATTCTAGATCCAGAGTGCGTAAAAAGGGCTACGGCTCCTCCCCCCCCTCCCTTTTTTTCAATATTTGATAGTTTTATTATGATTATAAGATCAAGGTATATTACAATTATATATATATATATATATATATATATATATATATATATATATATATATATATATATATATATATACATATATATATATATATATATATATATATATATATATATATATATATATATATATATATATATATATATATATATATATATATATATATATATATATATATATATATATATATATACCCACACAGTGGATTAGGAGCAAGGGGAGGGTACGTAGGGCCAAAGCCCCCTCCCCTCAAACTTACTCAAAATACCCGTTTAAATTAAAAATCTTGCTGTTGTTTTTTTGCTACAAATTTTCTTTTTAGCCCCCTAACATTCTTTTAAGATCAACATAAAAAACAAGAATTTTTTCAAACATTTAATGTCATGCACAACAAAGTTTAAATAAAATAAAAAAATACCAAATTAGTAATTAAATAAGCTACTGAAAGTCTTTTTTTGACTTAAACAAAGGCATTAGTTCACGATTTCGCAAATGTGTTCTAATAAAACCATCTCTTTTATCCCAACCACAGACTGACTCAGCTGCTTCTGTGACTAATTTGACTGCTCTCTCGCAACTTTGAGTATGTAATGAGTATGGAGGTAGCTGCAGGGGAGAAACTATCAATGCATTGAGTTGGACTAACAACATATTTGTAGTGAAAATTGGTTCAGTAACAACCTCTTTTTTCCAATCAATAAGTTCTTTAATGTCACATGCATCAAGGTTTATTGTTTGTGGAACTTTAAAAGGTCTAACATCATTTGAGCCCAGCTCACTTCCCTTCCTAACGGCCAATATTGTGTCGACTGCAAATAACCTTTGTTCTGAGTTATCAGAACTGTGAAGCAAGACAAGTATATTCTCAGGATGAGCCCACCAAGATTCATTTCTGAGATAAAGTTTAGATGCTTCTTTAATCCTATCATCTTGCTACTGCCAAAGTCGAAACAGCTTTAAAAGATGACAAGAACCGTATTTAATGTCATGCTTTACTTTAATCTCAAAGAACATTGGAAGATAAACCTGAGTCACCCAAGTTGCAAGCAGTCTTAAGATCTCTGCATTAACAGGTTCAAGATCATGCTTACTCATATAGAGAAGCAAGCATCTCATGCCACAAGTAAGCCATCGACTCTGAGACAATCTACCACATTTAAAAGCTTCTACTTCAGGATCAAGCTTTCCTTTCAGAATTGCATTCAAGTACTTCCATGCAATTAAACTGTCAGTGCTCATTTGCTTTAAGAAATCTTCACTGATATTAACAAGAGGCTCCAGAAGCGAAATAGGAGTAAATTGAGTAATTCTTTTAAGATTATCAACTTTGGAAAATAGTTTACCTACTGCTCCACACCATCCTTTATCTGAAGAAGTTGGTCTATCAAGTTTTTCAACAATATGACGGAATGGAAGCTCATTAATGTGAAGCCAGCAAAAAGATCTAAAAAGTTTTCGATTGATAAGTTCTTCCACAAAATGAATCATTCCACCTTTCCATCCAGACATTTCATTTGTAGTATCACTGCCAATTAGTTGGAGATTAAGATCTTTACCTCTTTGCATTAACCAGTTGAATAATCCAATAGCACATTGCTTGGCTGGTTTAGATGTTTCTGACTTAGGCTTTGGTGTATAATGAGTAAGGTAACGACCTCTAGGTTCTTCTGTCACAGTTATATGATTTTCTTTGATAATTTTTTTCTGAAGGTGCCTGTGGTTTTATCATGGATAAGAGTTAAAGTTTTGTCTTTTCTACCATCAACAAAAATTCCAGTGATTATATTTCTTTCACAGTCGAAATTTTCTTCTATTCTGGAATACTTCATAGCACGCTCTTTGGCACGAAAAACTTTCATGCTATCACATATAAGATTTTTTTTATCTTCAACAAGTTTCCCTGCTTTCATAATATCTTTCAGTAGACCATTAATAATTGCAGCAGTAGCAGTCGATGATACACCAAATCTAACAGAAGCAACGGCAGCATTACTAATATCAAGGTAGTTTCGCTTAACATAATTATCTTGCTTTTCTATGGTCGAGTCCTCTTTGCTATCACTGACTATATCACTGTCACTAACTTTATCGATATCACTGACTTCTTCACTATCACTGACTATCACATCATTTGAATTATTATGCATTTCTATTGTAACATCCACATTTTCAACATCGAATCTAACAGCCGGTGGATAAAATGTTTCTAATGACTCTAACTTAGATTTTGAAGCTTCTTCTTGTTGTCGTGCGAGTCTTGCTTGATCGATTGACTTGCGTAAGTGTTTTAACCTAAGTTTGGCAGTCTCTTTAACATCAAAACCAAATTCTTGCATAGATGAAATACTGCCTTTTTCGCTGGTTTTTTATCCAATTAAGCTCTTTTTGAGGAATTCTTAAATTTAAGTCACATTTGCAAAGGCAATGAGTACCGCTATCACAAGATTCTTTGCAAGGGGGATCATTCTCACTGCAGTAAACAATTCTGCATTTGCAAAAGAGCAATATCTAAAAGTTTATCAAGCTTAGGCTCCCAGTGTTTTATGTAAGATTTTTGAGATTTGTTTCGAGCTATCTTAGAGAATGCAGACCAACTTCTACTGAGTCTTAGTGTTATTCCTTTTGTTTCACAAACTATGGGTTCTTTAAATTCTGTGTTGGAAATAAGCTATCGTTCTGCAACCTCATAAGTAACATTAGAAAAAATTTCTTCCATTGATAAATTACGCTGATTTTTTTCATAGACTAGTATTCTGTCTCGCTGCAGATCCAGACATCGCTGTAAACAGTCACGTAAGGTTGGAAATTCAGTTTGGAGGAACTTTCTAGGACCTCCAAGATACTCACTTAGTTTGGTGTTAATCGATTTTCTGGTTTTCTTGCTAACTAATAACGCCATTTTTCTTTTTTTAATATATTATGAGTCTGAAAGATATAAAGGCAGCAATAACAGCAATTAATTTGAAATTAAATTTAAATAGTAATTATAATATTTATAAGGTATATTTGTATATTAACTGATACTTATACATAAAATAATTTTTAAAAAAACTCAAAACATATTATCAAAATTAAGCATAGGGCTAAACAGTATTTTAAATAACTATTATGTACATTTATAGCATAAATAGTCATCAATTAGAAAAAAACACAATATTTTTGGAAAATTAAAAACGTTTTCCCGGTAGCAAGACTTGTTTTTTCACTAAAAAAAATTATACCATTCAACTCAGGGTATATGAATACATAGGAAAAGTGATGTACTGAATGAAATTCATAACATGCAAAAGTATGATATACCCTAATATATATATATATATATATATATATATATATATATATATATATATATATATATATATATATATATATATATATATATGTATATATATATATATATATATATATATATATATATATATATATATATATATATATATATATATATATATATATATATCAACCCTCGGAATTAGGGTCAGCATTTAGCAATGCTGACCTAACTGCCGACCATAAAGTGTTTGAGGTCATTTCTATGTTTTCTGGTAAGACCTTGGTATCAAATTATTTTTGCCGACCTAATGCCGACCTCTAAAAGATTGAGGTTGGCAAATTATTGCTGACCCCATTTTTCCTAATTTTGAGGGTTGATATATATATATATATATATATATATATATATATATATATATATATATATATATATATATATATATATATATATATATATATATATATATATCATGTTGATTGGTTTAGTATTGTTTTGAAAATACAAAATTTTCAATCATAGAAAAGTGCTCAATAATTTAGAAATTTAATTTAAATTTTAAAATAGAGTGTTATATAAAAATATAGAAAAATAACAATTTATGGAACTTTATGTTTCGTGCTTTGTAGGCAATCTTCAGTCATATAATACCAAATTTAAAAACCAAAAAAAACCATTAAAAAAAAAGTACAAATACAATGAAACGAGGTCTGACATCTCTATAGTAACATTTAATCTTACAAAAGAAAAAACATGATATAATAATGGTTGTCTAATCGCCAGTGCTGTAGGAGGACATTAGAAATTTTTGTTTATGTCTGCACGCAGTGACCATTTTGCCCCGTTTATACCCTTATGAAAATATCCCATGGGAATTCCATGGGTAGCTCATGGAATATCATGGGTAACCCATGTAATTCTATTAAAAATCAATGAAATTCTGTCAGATACCATGGTTAAACCATGGTTT